TGCTTCCACTTTTCAGCTGTTGTGAATAATGCAGGTGTACAAATATCTTTTTGAGACTCTGCCTCCAATTCTTTTAGATATACATTCAGAAGTGAATCGATGGATCACGTGGTATTTCTATTTTTAATTTTTTAAAGATATACTGTTCTCCATAGCATTTGTACCATTGGACATTCCCTCCAACAGCACACAAGGGTCCCCATTTCTCCACATCCTAATCAACAGTTCTGGAGGCAGAACTGTTTAGAACTGAAATCTTGACTGTACCTTGTCGCTCCCCAACATCGTCAAGACCATGAAGTGGGTTTTGGCTGGTTGTCTGTCTTTCTTCCCCACTAGAATGGAGCACACAGGCCCTGTTTTGCTGTTCAATCCCCAGCACCTAGTCCAGGACGAGTGTTCGGTATGACCTGAAGTACAGTGTCGGTGCTCAAATATTTGCTGAATGAATGAAAGAATGAACCCCTCTGTTTGGCAGGTAAAGAACCAAATGAGATAAGATAATGGATGTAGAAAGAGCCCAACACACCCAACCCTGAATCCTGACGCGGGTGCCGCGGTGAGGTCACCGCTCTCAGGTCCTGTCTGCTCCTTTGGAAAAGGGAGGTGACAATACTTTCCACACGGAGAGGAAGAGGTGCCTCAACACACAGGAGCCCCCTAGCACCGTGCTGGACATACCATAGGCGGTCAGTCCATGCAGGCTTCCCTATAAAGCACCACATATAAATACAAAGTATTCTCACTATTGAAGTCTAATGCTTCAGACCAACCCACCCACAGGAGAAGTAAATGGGAGCCAAGATTTGTAGTCAGTGCAAGAGCACTGACATTTCTGTTAAAAGAACTATCTTAATGGAAGTAAATACAAAGTAAGATCACGATACAGAAAGAGGCCATAAGGTTGTGGCTGCCTATTATATAGGGATTCTTCTTTTTCACACCATTTTTTAAATTGGAAACCCATTGAATAATAACAATGTAGTTGTGGGGACATGAGTTGGTCATGGCTGGAGTAGATGGCCCAAGGTTTCTTTCAGCAAAAAATAAAAAAATTAATAATTCTAGATATGTCTTAATATTATAAAGATACTGAGCCTTCCCAAGTTAACAATTCAATGTCACACCAATCTTCACCCTAGATTTTTTTACTAGAAATCGACAAAATGAATCTAAATTTCATTGGATTAATACATAAAAATAGCCAAGAAAATTTTGATAATAAACAATGATGTTAGATGGGTATGTTCAATCTGACAATTCAAAAAGCTGGCTATTCACATATGATGTATGGACTCTTCTGTATGCACACTCCACTTCTAGAAAAACTTGTTTAAACATTGGAGGAGAGACACTTGTCTTATAAAAACATACTATGGAAATATAGTAATGTAAATATAAACCATGTAAGGCAGAATGAGACAAAGAGCTCAGCAGAATGGAAGAATCTTGTTATAAAATTTAATGTATGAGATAAGTGTTTCATATAAGTGAGGCAATTATAATAATAAAAACTGTTGGGACAATTAGCAGTTGATTCAGTAAAAAATACATTTGGACCCTCGCTTACCTCACATAAATCAATTCCAGGGGATTAATGATATAAAGGGCATGGTCAATCATAGATGGGACAAGGGTTAATTCATACTGCCTGTCTATAAAACTTCCCAGGGCTGAGACAAAAGAGGCTGACAATTCCATCACTACATCAAGAGCTTATTAAGGGAACTTATGTTTGTTTTTTAAAAGTGTGTATTACCTGTCTTTGTTTTCCTATACATACATGTAGGTATTTGTGTATAGGTACAGACACTAGCCAGACTGCTGGCATTAAAGGGAATGAGGTTTAGAACTTTTCCCAGTAAACAGGTACTCATGGCCCTAGCCAGTTTGGCTCAGTGGATAGAGCGTCGGCCTGCAGACTGAAGGGTCCCAGGTTCGATTCCGGTCAAGGGCATGTACCTTGGTTGCAGGCACATCCCCAGTAGAGGGTGTGCAGGAGGCGGCTGATCGATGTTTCTAATTCTCTATCTCTCTCCCTTCCTCCCTGAAAAAAATCAATAAAATATATTTTAAAAAAAACAGGTACTCATGTATTAGATCTATATATATAAAAGCCTAAGCAGCCGGTCGCTATGATGTGCACTGACCAACAGGGGGCAGACACTCAACACAGGAGCTGCCCCCTGGTGGTCAGTGTGCTCCCACAGCCAAACTCCTGCGGTCCTTCCCCACAGCTGGCCAACCTACCACGGTCCCTCCCCACCGCTGGCCGGCCCCAATTGGCCCCAATTGGGACTGGGCGAGATGGCCCCGATCAGCCCCAATCCCCGGCCAGGCCGAGGGACCCCACCTGTGCACAAATTCATGCACCAGGCCTCTAGTTTATAATAAAAGTACTTGTGAACTGTGTCTGAACAAAAGCTCTTAAGAGCACATATGCAAAGAAGAAGTTGGGTCAGAGGCAGCTTGGGGGTTCAGAGCATCAACCTTGGGGTAAAAAGACTTGGTGTCCACATGCCAGGTGGCTCCATGGGTGTTTTGTGACCTCAGGCAAGCAGTGGCTTTGGTGGCTTCTGTGCCTCAGCCCTAGACCAGCAGAACCAGGGGATTTTGCTCTCCCGGGGTCGTCTGGCAATGTCTGGTGGCATTATTGGTTGTCACAACTGGGGAAGAGGGGTGCTACTGAACATGCCCCAGTGCGCAGGACAACAGCTTCCCCTCCGGAAAGAGAATCCACCCGCCCCAGGTATCCAGAGTTGAGGTTGAGAAACGGGGTTCTAGAAAAAGGGGCAAGTCTACCTTGCAGGGTTGAGGCCTAATTGTGTACAAGGTGCTTAATTAGCACAGAACAAGCCCTCAATAAATGGGAACTACTATTTTTATGACTGGACTTCCACAAAATTAAGAAAAACAATATAGTGGGAGGAAGTGGCAGTGGCTGGAGCCCACTCAGCCGCACTCTACCTTGGGAGATAAGAGGTCCGTGCCCTTTCTAACGGCAACCCTGGTCTCTGGCGTGTCTGTGTCACCAACTGGAAGTGGTGTGCGAAGGGCTCCTCACTCCTCACTCCTCCGGGGTTTTCGTTGCCAGCCTCCTGCCCTGTCCCAGCTCAGGAGCATGCTGCTGGATGGTCCCTGGGCTCTGGTGTATTCACCATCTTTCTCTGGTGGGCATATCCCTCTGCTTCAAGAACACACTCAGTTTCTCCTGTTGGAAAATTAAAACCACCCGCCTTCTCTTTTTCTCTCTTCTCGTGAAATTCAAGAGGTGCCAACACGGAGGACTGATGCTTCATTTCCTGCCATCTCCGCCAAACTCCAGCGTGCCCCTCCCCCGTCCCCGAGTTCAGCCAAACCGCTGTGCCATATGACCAACCATTAGCTTCCACTCAACTTACTTCACTGCTTTGCTGCATCCTTGCTGTGGGCCACTCCCTTGAACATCTCTTCCCATGACTCTCCTGTCCTAGCCACTCGTTTTCCTCCTACCTCTTTTCCTGTCTACTTCGTTCACTCACCTCTTCTCAAATGTTATTAAATGGAGATGTTAGAGATTGGGCCATGGCCATCTTCTCTTCGCCCTACAACGCCTCCAGCTCTACTCAGTTCCTCCTCTACTCCTACATCCCAAATCCATCCCTGGTCCTGACCACTCCTTTGGTCCCCAAACCAGAACATGTATGACTGCCTATTCGTCATTTCTGTTTGCTTGTCTCAAAACCTCCTGAACTCAATACACTCGCAATTGATCGAAGGACCTTCCCTGGGAACCTGGTCCAATTCAGTGCCCCCGTCTCAGGGAATGGCCTTGCCATCCACCAAGTGGGGAAGCCAGCAGCTCGAGGCAGTCCTCCATCCCAACAGCAATCTGTGCCCAGGTTGTCTGACCCCAGCACCCCTCCTCACCACGGTTGTATGACCCCAGCATCTCTCCTCTCCACGGCTGTCTTACCCCAGCACCCCTCCTCTCCACGGCTCTTACCCCAGCACCCCTCCTCTCCTTGGCTGTCTGACCCCAGCACCCCTCCTCTCCTTGGCTGTCTGACCCCAGCACCCCTCCTCTCCTTCGTATGGGCCCATGGACTGGACTCACCTGATTGGCCCCCCTGCTTCCCCTTTGCTTCTCTAAAATCCCCCACTCTCCCTGCAGCCAGCGATCTATTAAAAATTACTGTCTAATCACATGACACTGAGCCCTACCTGCTGGAAACTCTTGCACCCGCTGCTCTAAGGTTAAAATCTAAACTCCTCACCTTGGCCCACAAGGCCCTGCAGTACAGTCTGGCCCAACCCATCCCCTCAGCCTAACAGTGCCCAGTGTGGTCCTTTGATCTCTCTAACCTTCCTGGCTTCCTGTTCCTGCAGCTCACCCACTGTATCTCAG